AAAAAAAAAAAAAAAAGAGTGGAAAGGGTATTATCATAGGATAAGACCAGCATCTTAAAAGAACATCCAACTCCCTGGACTCTCTTTTCTCCCTGAATCAAACAATCAAATTTCTGATAAGCTTGTTGGTCCTCCTACGAAGAAGAGAATGTGCTTAGTAGCAGGTATGAGTTTAACAAACAAGCACTTTGGTCTATAATACATGGTCTCATCTAAGAACACTAGTGATCTTTCATTAGATTCCCATGCACCTGCCTTTATTTGTGTCATTCTGTTGATCCTCACTAAATTCTGATTAAGTAACTGCTTTTAAAAAAAGATGAAATTAGAGGATCATAGTGGGACCTGCCAGATGGTTCTATCATCCAAATTCATGTTCTTTGGGCTCTATTGTACTTTTTTGGAGGGAAAGGGCTGGAGGTTGTACTCAGAAAGCTCTGAGCTATGTCACCAGTCCTTTTTTTAAAATTTTGAAACAAAGTCTTGCTAAATTACCCAAGCTGGGCTTGAGCTTGTAACCTCAGTGGTTCAGCCTCTAAAGTTACTACATATAGTCTTTTTTTTTTCTTTTTTAAGAGAGAAGGTCTTGCTATGTTGCTCAGGTTGACCCTAAATCCCTGGCCTCTTACTAGCCTCCTGCTTCAACCCTCTGAGTAGCTGGGACTACAGCACATCTCACTATGTCCAGTTCGTATTCTGTTTAGGTAGGAATCAGGCTAGCATCAGTCTCCCAGGACCTGCTCATCTTGAGGTGAGTAATAAAATGACATTTATGAACCTACCAAGCCAAAGACTAGGTGACTCTATCCAGGTAGCTAAAATAGCCTTTCAGCTTCATCCATCACCAGAGCCACAAAATCACACTGAACTCCACCAGTCTACAGTCATTATAGCTCTTATCCTGCAGAAAATATCTTCTTTTTATGTGCAAAAAAGTTAAGATGACAAACAACCTCACCCTTTCAGTGTTAACAGTATGCTGAGTTCTTACCACAAGCTGATAGGCGAAGAAAATTGACTATTTTTCATCCTCTCTTAGCTAGCACTCAGCAAACATTTTATACTTAAAATTCATCATTAGGGGCTGGGGAGATGGCTCAGTGAAATAAGCACTTCCTGGCAAGTGCAAGGGCCTGAGTTCAATCCCCAATCCCGAAAAAAAAAAAAAAAAATCACTCATCACTGCCAGGCGGTGGTACATGCCTGTAATCCCAGCCTTCCAGAGGCTGAGACAAGAGGATTACTGCAAGCTTGAGTACAACCTGGACTACATACTTGAATTCAAGGCAGCCTGCACCGAGACTCTGTCTCAAAATAAAGAACTCATTTACTCCTCAAAAACAACCACACTTTTCAGACAAGGAAACGTGAGGCTCTGAAAATTAACTTGTCTAAGAGGATATACATCAAGTGACAGGTACCAAAATCTGTGTTCTTTCCACCCTACCAGGCACACCTCTGAGTTCCCTTTCACCTCAGGAATAAGATGAGGATTCCTCCTGTTGGAATTCTTCCTCTTCTAAAGCAATTACAGTTTAGTTCTGCCCACTGACAGTTCATGTCTCCATCCCTGCCACTCTTCCTCCTCCAAATTTACAATCTTTTAGCAAATCTAATGGCCTCGAATTAGTAAAATAACCGAACAGTTGGTTGACAATTTAGAAAGTACTTTCAAACACAGTGATTCATCTGCCCTCTACCATAATGGGGCGAAGAGGACAAAGCGTGTCACATAAAAGTACTCCAGTTTCATAGGACACCTCCCCAACGTCAAGGAACAAAAGCCAGGAGCAATCAGGAGCAGAGACCCGGGTTTGAAGCCGAGGTCCTTGGCTTGTCTCAGTGCACCACACGGACGCCCACGTTCCAGTCACCGCGCCCGCGAAGTCACGAGACGCTGTCTCACGCCCATCCATCCGCGGCGTCACCGCCCACCCTGCTGACCCCTCAGAGGTCAGCCGCCCTCTTCACCACCCCTACCCTCAAGAACCACAACTCCCCAAACCTTCCCTCTAAGAGCCTCTTCTCTGCCCGAGACTCCAAACCCGGCCTCCTTGAATCCCTCGCTCCGCCTTCCCGCTCCTCGCGCCAGACCCCGCCTCCTGTCAGCAGCGGCCGACTCCGCCCGGGTTACCTTCTCCAAGGATGCAGGTCTTTGCACGGCCAGGGAGCGGGCCAGTGACAGGACCGTATTGAAATAAAAACCCCGAGAGGCACCGGAGCCAGAGCTGGAGCCTGAGCCGCTTCCAGCTCCCCGGCCCCCGGCCGCCGCCATCATCGCGCGCCCAGAGCCTCGGCCCACCGGCTCACCGCACCCGGCCCGCGAGCGCCGGACCTCAGGGCGCAAGCGCATTCTCATCCTGCTTCCCCGCCACGTGACCGACTAGGCCTGACATTGAATGGGGCGTGGCCGTGGGGGCGGTCCCACAATTGCAGGGAGGAAGAGGAGCCGAGAGGTACGAAGCGTTTTCCTACGCCGGCCGAGTCTCACCCCCGCAGCTGCCGTCCGCTGTGGTTGGCGCCAGAGGCGGGACTGTGACGTAATAAGCGCGGAAGGAGCTAGCCCCAAGCGGGGCGTGGTCGCGGTTTGGTGACGGAGCTCACTCCTTCTGGTTTTCCTATCTAGATTACCGTCGGCAATATGTCGGCATACCCAAGAAGCTACAACCCTTTCGACGACGATGTGGAGGATGAAGACACGCGGCCGGCTGCGTGGAGGGACGCCCGTGACCTCCGGGACGGGCCCTCAGCGCCCGCGGACAGTCAACAGTACCTGCGGCAGGAAGTGCTGCGCAGGGCCGAGGCCGCCGCTGCCAGCACCAGCCGGTCTCTGTCTGTCATGTACGAGTCCGAGAAGGTCGGGGTCGCCTCTTCTGAGGTGAGCCTGGGGCACGACGGAGCACAACTGGGCAGCCTCTGCATTGTCAAACGCGGTCGAAAACTGTTTTTTCACAATCTTTTGAGAACCTTCAAATTGGCTACTAAGAGGTTCTGATACGGCCTTCATGGTTTGTTATAGTCTCTGAACTATATAAAGAGATGGATGTGTTGCTGGAGTATTAAAAGGGGCACGTTCAGTTTACCTCAGAAATCCTTCTTACGTATTACTCTGTTTAGTTGTTCCCCCTTTAATCTAGTTCAAACGTAAACTCAGACTGTTCTGTCCGAGTGAGAAAAATTCAAACATCCGAGCCTGCTGGTTCTCCATAATACCTTGGGTAAAGATGCTTTAGACTATTCTTCCGGAGTGATCCAGAAAGAGTAAGAACTGTGTACTGCAGGTGTCAGGTGATGGATCGCCTTGAGTTCTTACCCATCCTTCACTTCTCCACAGCATTAGTAGTGATGTTGAAGTCCCCTCTGCACACCTGCTGTAAAGCCTAGGTTTTTACTTTCATTTCCCAAATTCTACACGATCTTTTGCTCCACTTCATTTTTGTCACGTCTTTCCATCCATAGGTTTTATCTTAGGACGTCAGTGAGAATTATTTTTACCACATTCTGTCCTCAGCCTGCTGATGTTTGAACAGAGAGGGGAAAAAAAAAAAGTTGTTTTGATTTTTAGACAGAGTTTCTCTGCACAGCTCAGGCTGTCCTTTGATCAGAGATTCTTTCCTGTTTCAGCCTCCACAAGTGTTTGTTTAAAGGCACGTGCAACCCTACCCAGTTTGGGGGAAAAAAGCAGACTTACCAAGAGATCACTGATATATCAGCTAAGAATAAATTTACATATTTTGTAGTTTTGAAATATTGCTCTTGAAATCAAAATGTTATCTTCCTCCTTAGTTCTCTTCATAACTCTTCTCTGACAAAATTAATCCTCATCTGATCACTCAGGGTGTTGGACAAGTGTGAGTTCATAGATTAACTTCTCAAATAGTCATCTGTGTCATTTCTCCAGTGCTGCTTTCTTGGGTTATTCCTTTCCCATTTCTCTGGTAACATTATCCACCATTGATCCACCTTCCTGCCTTTAGTCTTCTTGAGGTTTTGCTTTAGTTCTTGTCTTACCTGTGTACTAGTTTTATGTATTCCAGGCCAAATGGGAAGTGTTGGCTTAAACTTGGAAATAGCACCTGAGATTTTAAGGCCATGGTGAACTTGTCACTTGGTTGAGGGTCCCAAGCCAAAGGAAGTCAACTAAGAACTATTTGAAGAGACATTTCTGGAAACTGAAGAAAAAAATGTAGAAAATTATAGTGGGCAGTCATGGTGGCACACATATGTAATCCCAGCACCTTAGGAGGCTGAGGCAAGAGGATTGCCATGAGTTTTGAGGCCAACCTGAGCTTTGTAGTATGTTCAAAGCCAGCATGAACTGCATAGTGAGATCCTGTTGAAAGAAGGAAAGATTTTTAAGGGCCAGGGAGATAGCTCAGTGGAATAAGCACTTGCCTGGCAAGTGCAGGGTCCTGAGTTCCATCCCTGGTACTACCAAAAAAAAAAAAAAAATCAATCAATCTTTAAAAACTTGCACCCCATCCTCCTCCAAAGTGTGGGGACTGCAACCATTGAGATGGATGGTACTTCTAATATAGGGGCTTGACCTGGGGGTTCCTTAGAGAAATACAGTACAACTAGCCAGGCAGCAGCCTGTCTTCCAAGGTTATGATTACATGTTGAATTTTTCCAGGACTAAATAGTTCTCAATTATTAGAGACCCTGGGGGTCAGGAATAGTCTGCACCCCCACCACATCCCATGTTCTTCAGCTTCTGTGAATCGTTCCTTCATTCCTTTCAATATTGGGAAGCTGAACTCCTACACAGTGTGGCACCACATAGCATCCTGTTCAGTGCCCTGCTAACCTCCCAACTTTGATGGATGCCTGCTGTGTGCCTAGTATTATGAAACATGCCAAATGCAGGATACATTTTTTTGGACACTAAGAGTTTACAAATACTATGAAATTTCAAAGATAATTTAGTCTCAGCTTAGCAGAAGTAGGAAAATTACTTAAGTCACCTTTAACAAAAGAGAATTGGCAGTGCTTGTTTCTGGAAAAGGATGTGGCACCAGTCACAACACCAAAGGACAGAGGAGAAGCAGTTAGGACAAAACAGGCACCTAGCTCACCTGGTAAACACTATAGAATTGTAGAGATAACTTACAGGCCACTCGCTCCCTGTCTGCTTTATAAGTGTGTCTTTTTTTCCCCTAAAGTTTAATTTTTGTAATGAACATTCCAATCACATGGTTCAAAGATCAAGACATACAAATGGATTTTAAATCTCCTTCCACCCCTTCCTTGACCTTAGCTTCCTTCTTCCCTTAAGGGAAGCCAGTTACCAGCTTCTTCAGATAGTCTGTGAATAAAAACTTTTTTTTTTGAGTCAGGATTTCACTATGTAGTTCAGACTGGCCTTAAAATCACTATGTAGCCAAGACTGGTCCCAAACTTGCAGTAATACTCCTTCAGCCTCCTGGGTGCTGGGA